AATAAATTTCTCTTTAGATATACTAATGTAAATTAAAATTTTAACAATTTGATGGTTAATAAAGAAGAAATAAAATCAAGTGAAGAAAGTTCTTCTCAATTACTTTTTCATCATGGCTCTACACTATATATATGTAATTTGCAATAACGAAATAACGCTCATCGAGTGGATACGTTATGTAATAATGACATAATGATATGTTGATTATAAATTAACATTGATTAATTGGAAGAAAGAGGATTAATAATAATCAAAGTACTTATTGAAAAATCAAGAAGTTGCTATGTTACATAATATATGAAAAAGAGAAGGGACAGAATATTTTGATGAATAGTAGTATGGTAGATAGTAGAATAGTAGTTATGTAAGAATCAAAAGATCAATGTTGAGAATAAGTAAAATACAAAGTTCAGAAAATGAAGACAAAAATGGAAAAAGTAAGAAAATAGTTTATCAATATACTGCTACAAACGCCTTTATACCGATGGCCAAGGTAGCGAAAGTGGTTGTACAAACTTCTTTTGGATGCAAAAGTTAGGTTTGTGAACATGGATTGCAATAGATTCAGTAATGTGCAAAAGACGCAATCGTAAACCATGTGGCAAATCAAAATATTCCGTTTCTTCTCTTTTTCATATATTATGTGACGTAGTGACTTCTTGATTTTCGAATAATTTTTTTGACTATTGTTAATTCTCTTTCTTCCAATTACTCAATTTTAATTTATAATCGAAATATCATTATGTAACCACTCGATGAGTATTATTTCATCATTGTAAATCATATATATGTAGTGGCTGTGCTTCGTTAACCAATCACCCTCGTAACCGTTACCATATAATCCTCAACGGTGTTTGAAATCAGAAGGCAAAGAGAAGCAGCGACTACAGGTTTATTAGCAGATAACTCAGACCACAAAGCAGTGAGGCGAATGAGCGAGTCAGCGAACCGAGAGTGTAGGGTGTTAAATGTACATTTATATATATAAGAAAATGAATGGATCATCGAATCAATTAAGCAGCTAATAATAAAGCTAGCAGAATGAATATATGCGTAGGTGGTAACCACTGTTATAGTACGGATGACTTTGTCCGCTAAATAAGTTAACAAAAGGGCTTAACTGAGTTAAATGAGAACAAACTCAATTGCACGTGACTTGCTATATGTATTAATGTAGAACCTTGATGAAAAATTAACTGAGAACAAATTTGTTCGTTCGATTTGTTACTTTTTTATTAACCAAATGTCGAAATGGGAATTTTTACTAAATTTTATGGTTAAAAATAGTACTTGTAAATGTATGAAAATGATTATTATTATTATCGATCATTTGCTTCAATCCCTTTTTTAAATATTCAATTAAGATATTCCCACAGAATTTCATTTGTCAATCATCAATGATATTAGAAGACGAAGATTATCAGAACTATGTGATATATTAGCGCAATACATTTCGAACAATCTGGTCACACATATACTTGTTAAGAGCATTTATATATAAAAATAAAAGGCCAACTAGACAGGAAACGGGGTAAGAGGAGATAATGATAATGATAAGATATAAATGCTCTTAACAACTATATGTGTGATCAGATTGTTCGAAATATATTGCGCTAATATATCACATAGTTCTGATAATCTCCGTCTTCTAATATCATTATCGAAATTTATCAAAGGGACTAATTGTTTTAAATCATCAATGAATTATTAAATATGACCATCAAGAGATGTCGTTTATGTAGTGAACAAGTACTTTTCTCTTGAACATTATAGTGTATTTACAATAAGTTGAATAGAAAATAAATAATGTTCCTTTGTACACGAAATGAAAAATCATCAGTTAAAGCAATGACGTCTATTATTCTTACATCAGTAAAGCTTAATCTATTAGAGGACTTACGTATAAACACAATGTGGAAAATAAACTATTGAATGATTTAGTATGATTTTTGCTTATAAATCAGAACAAGGAAGTAGTATTTTTAATATTCAACAAAATTTGAATATAAAGATTTCTTTACGTACAGATGGAAATTAGAATAAATTCAATAAGTGTAGAGTGAATAAATAACATTTCAGTGTATTGTATTTCTCTACAATTATTTAGCTAAAGTTAGTTCATGATGTAAACTGAATAATTAGCACAAACCTCTTATGCTAATAATAATCAGTTAGTCATAAACGATTGTCTTCGAAAGTATCAAAATCCCGGTAAGATAATTCGGTTATGTTGATTGTGATACACTTATTTGTTATTGCAATGAATGATAGTTGCGCAACATCGTGGATTTCTAAAGGTTTGAGAACAATGTATTCAACAGTCATCAAATATAATTCCAAACACAATGTTCTAAGATGATAATCGTTATAATCATATGGTCAAACAAGCCTAAATAATAGAGAAGATTAGTAATTGATAAGAGTTTATTGATAATGAGTTAAGCACATACTTATCTTACCTATTAACATTATTTAAAAAGCTTATAAGGAGATAAGTGTAGACTTCTTACTAGATTTTCGAAAAAAATTTCTGTACTATGATGTTGAAACATTATTGAGTTGTTGTTTTCCTTTAAATAAAACATTAACGATACGATTTCTAAGAGAGAACAGATAAAACTTAATGAAAGTAGAAAGAATAAACAATAAGTGATTCCAATTAAAATGGAATCATTATTTATTATTAAGAAGTTACTGTTGAGTAAAAATAATCATGGTCAATCAAGTTGGAATTTTCAAAACAAAATATAGACAACATAAAGTATACAGATCAAATGTATCTTACCAATTCCAAATTAAAATAAACTTCTTTATAAACTCGTATTAGATCGTAGGTGTTTTCTGTTAAAAAGTTACAATACAAAAAATACCTGTACAATGCACTTTGGTTTATATCACTTACTCAATTGACTTATGTTGAAGATTAAACCAAAAAAACAAAAAAACAATCACGAATCTAAGCAAAAACGAATACAGAAATCACTGTACTATCAACTTATATCAAGATAAAAACATTTAACATATGAAAAGATCACAATGAATATAAACTATGTACACAAATTAATCATTATCATATCCATTCATTGATATAAAACTAGGTCATATGAGACTAGAACCATCGTAAATAGAAATGAGTACTTTGAATTCGATCCTAAGCTGAGTTATAATAGTTATATGAATTCATTGTGAAATTTTTGATCAAAGGTATAAAAATATTTTAACCTAATTGAACCTTACTTATGATATTTTAACATTATCAGCAACGCGAAAGGATAAGCAAAAATAAATCAAATGTCAATAAACTCAGTAAACAACATCGATTGTATCGTGTTTTGTTTTTATAACCTTTTAATTTTAAATGTTTGTTTATGATATGAACATATTACATTCTTCTATTTAAAGCCATTTTAAAAGTTTCAGAAGAGGTTTTGTCGAGTTCGCAGTAATTTCAATGGTTGAGATCATGAATCAATTGAATCTAGGCAACCATGGAAAATCTGGAAGTTTCATTGTTGCAATGAATAAATCAATAAATTATTACTTTATTAACATGTTAATGAGAAATTTTGATTATTCCTATTAATTTTTATGATAAAAATACTTTGAATAAATATAATACAAATTTTGAATGTGAAGTTCTGATCAGTAGATAACACAACAAAAGCACCATAATAAACTGATATAAAACACTTAAAGTTCCCCCATGAAACTTTTAGTGACCAATATAGTTTTCAATAATGAAATTTCTGAATCCATTACATAATTAATGTATTTATAGTTTTTTTTCCTCCTAAATTTGGGGAGTCAGATAGATTTCTATAATCTATTAATCAATTACTGTACCCAAATGAATTCGAAAGAGTTCATATTTATAAAGCTACCCATTTGATAATATGAGGTGATACATTTGACATTAAATTATTACAAATTTGCATAAAATACCATGTAGGTATTCCTATTTGAAAGTTAATGTCTTTAAACAAATCGAATGTATGAACACTTGCTCCTTTTAGATAACTGATGTTCAAATATATACCTCCATATGGTTAGCATCCATGTATAATATGGAATATTACTAGTGCAATCAGGTCATTTGGTTACATGAGGATATTCTGAACATTTAACGTCTAACTTCTTTTAAATACAACTCTTACGTGTGTGTTTCTTGACTAAAAATTGATTGATTTTTTTTGTTTTTCGACCATTCATTTTCAATGACCAGTCAATTTAATTATTTTTTTGTTTGCTTTCATCTTTTATTAAGTTTGAATGTTTCTATTAACGGGACATTAGGTTGTCAAAGTTACATATTATTAAAATGATTTAACTAAACATGAAAAGTACTAAACGTTAACTTGATTTTAAAAATTTATGTTTATTTAGATTAACTGATTAAACAAATTAATCAACATGCAGAAACATTTGGCTACAAAACAGTATAGAACTGAAGAATAGATGATGATGATTGATTCTCTCATTAAATCATCTATAAAGTTTTATGCATATTTAAATACACTTTGAGGGTAATACAATTCAATTTAGTGTTACAATGGTATTCATGTAACCAGTCACAAATCTGTGTGCATTGATATTTATCATATGACAAAATGGCTGAATATGTGTGGAATATGTGAAATAGATGATTTTATACAAGAAATGGACACACAAAAAGCATTATGTGTTTATATCTATATATTTATATACGTATAAATATATAGCTGAGTATGTATATTCATAACTAGTTGCATAACTCATAGTGTTTTACGATAAGATTTCGAATCAACCAACGAAACGCGGAAAGAATTCAGCTATAAAACGTCGTAGTCACTCGTTCATTCACTTACTCACCTACATACAAAACATACACATAGTCGCTTCTAATAACAAATGTATAATCAAATTGTCTATGAATTAATTAACCGTAACAATAAATTACATATCTTATTGTAAATAATAAATAAGACTATCCAATGATTATTGTGTAATTTAAACCAAAAAAAATGATTGAGAAGTGAGTTAACCTATTTACTTATTCAGTATTATTGATAATTGAAATGTTAAGCGTTATCAGTAATAATATCAATAGTTTCTTCATGATTTATATCAAATTATTCCGATCAATATACTTCGTAAGTAAATGTTTTAATATTTTAACTTATGATAGATGGAAACTAAAAGCTTTCAATTAGCTGATATCATGAGTCACGGGTAAATATACTGACTATTAGATTCATATTGATCGCTTCACTAGTTCCTGTCTGATATTAAAGACAATTATGGGTTCTCATACTGTGACAAAATCATTATTAACTATCTATAAAGTAGGGACATATTGGTCTAACTCATCTATGAAATTACTTCATGATCCAAATCTTCCAATATAACACAGCTTAATCAGTAGAGCTTTTACTTAGCATGATTTGAAATCTCTTCAATAGACTGTAATAATTATATAATCTTCTAGTAAATCATTTTACTTTTAGAGTTCATGTTTCAGATAGAGATATTTGAATGTTTGTAAGAACATTTCTTTATTCTGTTATATTGATAGAAATAGATTCAAGTTTTGATCGTTACCTCTTACCAATCAATGCATATACTCTTTTAATAGTATAGGAAAATAAATGTATTCTACGGATACTTTTTGGATAAAATCTACCAAAAATAATTTAAAAAACCGTATTGGATTAAGTATACATTAGCTTTTAAATAATACTATGAATGATCTATTAAGGTTTATGTTGTCTCTAAATTTCTTAATATTTTTTAAATCTACTTTAAATGAATAAATGAATATATTTTTGTAATATCCTAATGAGTAGAAATATTAGATTTTATGATGTTTTGTGACTCAGTTTAAGCTACTTCTTCAGACGATAAATACGTTTAAATAGTATAACGGAACAATAAGAATATTATACTTTAAATGATTTGTAACACTTGTCAAACAGTAGAAATGCATCATTTAGTCATCATTTGTTCAACAAGTAGTATATTTATATAAAATTTATAATAAACTAAGTAAATCATTTGAAGGATTCTTGATTATTCACTTCAGTAAATTATTAGTTATATTATTAATTCATTTCACCGATTCAAATCATGAGTCAATTGAAGCTAGACCACCAAGGAAAACCTGGAAGCATTGGATGGCCGTTTTGTCCCAGTACGGGACTCCTCAGCAGTGCGCATCCACGATCCCGCACTCCGCGAGATTCGAAAGTGGGACCTATCAGTCTCGCGCCAGGCGCTTAAACAACTAGACCATTTATTAAATATCATTAGAGGAATAGTGACAATGAAGAATGTTTACAAATTTCAATATATATAACAAAGCAATTAATCATTCATAATGTACTTTTATTAGCTCTGTTGTATTTTAAAACTAACTTTCAATAAAACCGACATTTTAATCCTTTCTAAATAGTTCAAACCTTAAGAATTCTCATACTGTTAAAAAAGGAAGTAATATTATTTTTAAATGTATTTGCTTTTTTTGATTAATTAAGAGAGAGATGTGAAGAAAGGATTCTTTGATGTTTTCATCGAAATTCATTATAGCTCTTGATTATATAGGAATGTTCAAAAATGAAGAATAGTTGAGCGAACAATTGTTTTCAATACCTTCATCATCAGGCTCTACAGTTATAAGTCCATAATTATAATATTTTACAAAGGCCAAAAATAAGGCATCCTTTAATTAGTTTGACAATGTTATGTGTTAAAAATGATGAACGTTTGCATCTGATGCGACATATCTATACTTCGAAATTGTATTATTTATTACTATATAGAAATGTTTCCTTTTAATATTTTAAAAGTTCTTTTAACAGTTTTGAAGATGTCGCCTAACACGTTTTCTAATGAATATCAATCTATTATTAGATACAAATCCATTCATACATAAATCATACATATTTACTAATCATAAATGTAGTTTCGACTATCATTATCGTTGAAACAATTCTAATCTACTTTTGTACATTGTACTTCATAACAATTACTCTTTCAATCACATTTTTTCCCAATTAACTTATCTTATTTGCTACTAGAAAGATTATTAGTCAAACTTAAATAAAAATTCTGAATCAATTCGTTAAATAATAATAATCTTAACAGTTATTAGGTAACATTTATTGATTATTTATTTCAGATCATTGTTTTCATATTATATCTTGTCTATAGCAGTAATTCTGCAAAGTGATTTGATAGTGTAGCTTGGTTGTGTTTTTTTAACAGGTAAAATAGCTACAGACTAACAAATAGATAACGTACTGATATACTTTGTCACCAAATAGATGTAAATTTATTTGCGAAATGAATGGTAATAAGTACTTTAGTGAGTGGTTATTCAATATATCTGAATGAATTATTATTTAGTTGCTATAAAATAAGAGTTAATTTTAAAGATATCAAGTTTCGATTATTAATCTCACTGTTACATATACTATCAAGCAGAAGGGTTTTGTATAATAAGTTGAACTTACGGTAGATAGATAGAATTCTTTGAACTGCTTTAAACAGATATAGCTGTGTTTTACGTCCATGTGATGAGTTCTCTCTGACGATTAAAAGGATTCCATATTTCATCTGTTATTAAAATAAACATTTTAATTTGATTTTAGAATAATCTCCTATTATCAGTAATTCTTTCATTAATGGATTTGTATCATTACACTAATTCAATAAAAGTTTTCCGTTCAACACAATGAATTAATTGTATTATTCGATAGAAATCTTGGTGAAGCTTTGCTATGCTACTAACCTTCCTTAACTATCGAAATGACATTGTAATTTTAATGTCTTCTATTAACTAATGGGAAATATATATATTGTATTCTAATACTAAACACGTAATGATACACAAATATACAGTGTTTACACAAGGACTATTAGTTTATCGATTTTCACAATCAACGTTTCACTCCTTAAGTTTAAGTATATTTGATAGAGAATATGAATGCAGATCAATATTCTTAATAACTGATATTGATAAATATTTTTGTTAACTGATCATCATAGACTCTATATTGTTTATGTCTAAATTCATTAATAAATGGAAAAGGTAGCATTGATCAATAACAAATTTATATACTTATTTATGTATCAGATAAATTCTTCTTATCTATTAGCATCACTAGTGATTTACATTGTCTGAGTGTTAATTTTCAAAGGTGAGAAAAGAATCTATCATAGTTGCTAACACTAATTAGATCATAAAAAGCATGGATTTCACATTTTGCTTGTTTGTATTTATTTGAAAATATTGTCGTTACACTGTGAAATAATAATATCCTTGTAATTTAATTAGTTATAACTGATTCATGAAGGTATATTCTTTAAAACTACTCATTACACAAATGATAATGAGCATCAATTTACTTTGTATTTATTCTATAAACGTAATGCGGTGGTATGTGTTTACTAAAAATATAACTAATTATAACTTCTATCACTTTTAAAATTAAAAAGTCATTCTGACTTAAAAACAAAACGAAAACACGTTTTAGTCCTCTTTTCAATTTCACTTAGAAATTATCCTGGTTATTTTTTAATTTCAGTCAAATTATAAGAATGTTTGCTAGTCAGTTCTATTAATCTAATCGATGAGATTTTTGTTTATGGTACCATTGGATACAAATATAAACTATGTGAAAGTCAAACGGCTGACAGTTTATTTTTCACACTTCAATTGATATGGCTAATGATATTGGTTTACAAAAATTATTTAACCGTAACAATCTTTTATCTCTTTTCAAAATCAATAATCATATTGTGTTGATTGAGTGTGAGGAAATTTTTTTTAATACAGTAAACAATCGAACGGGTGATTGAACACAAAGACAATTTCTTTTTTAGAGTTGAATTTATGAGCCAATTAAAGCTAGACCACCATGAAAAACCTGGAATCACTGAACGGTTGTTTAGTCCTATTGTGGGACTTCTCATCAGTGAGCATCCATGATCCAACCTCGCAAAATTCGAAGCTACGATCTACCGATCTCGCGATCAAACGCTTGACCTCTAGACCACTGAGCCAGTCGGCATCCAACAGTGTTAATGTCTAACTTCAACCAATTCACGAAATTGCGACTTTGTCTACCATTGCCGTCATCTAAAATTAAACGGAACGTTACTAAACTTATCAAATATTCTAAAAACGAAAATATTATAATCATATTCCAGTATTTATTTTACTAAACAGCATACCCTTAATCTTTTAACTTAGTAAACAAGACCTAAACAAGTGAATAAACCATAATAATTTCTATGTTTAAATGATATTTATTTGATCAATAAATAGTGTAGGTGTGTGAATGTGAGTAATCTAGAGCTTTGTAAAATACACAGAGTGTATTAACAACCAAACGCTAAATAAAGGCACAAAATAATTAGCATAAAATGAATATAAGACAATGGAAGATTAAATTATAACTCATTGAATTATTAATTATGAAAATAATTCGACTATTTTTTGTTGTTGAATAAATCAAGGAATAAATTATTGGTAATATATTTTTGTGTTATACAACAATGTACAAATGAATAAATAATATAAGTATACAACAGTATGAAATATCTCTTACTGAATAAATCAATCTTTAGTTTAAAAGAAATGATCCATTAATAAATAGTGCTAGGATTATTTCATGAATGGTGAGGTTAGGTTGTCAGGTTGTCAATCTATCTTCAAATGAGTAGATGAGAATTCTTTTACATTGAGGAGTTGAGTCATGATTTGTATCTTAAAAAGTTCTAAATGACTCAATGAATAAATTTCCTTTTTTTCATTGTTTTAGTGAATACAATACATAAACTTCTTTTTGACTAATGTCCCTGAAACTTGGATGTTAATTTCAAGTTGACAACAATAAGTCATTTCAATCAATATCTAGTTTATCCAGGTTAATATTTTTACAATAAAATGCATAGTAATTAATAATTAATTCTACCTATAGTATATTTTTTATTTCATATTTATTTGTATTGAGAAACTTGAATCTGCAGTTT